TCCTTTTTTTTTTTTTTTTTTTTTTCTCTTTTTCTCCTTAAATCCATAAACTAAAAATGAATATACAGGCATATAGACAAAAAGGGGGTAGAGAGCCTCTCTTCTCCTACGGTATCAATCCTCTCAGGGTGGTGATAATTTGTTCGCGTTCACTGTAGTTACTTTTCTGCTGGCAAAAAAAAACCCCGAAAGTTTTGTATTTTTGTGCATACAAACGCACAAACGCTTGCCGACGCGCACGCACCCGCCCCGTCACGCAAACTCAGATTGAGGTATCCGGGGATGCAATTTTTTAAAAACATTCGCTGAAGTAAAAACAGTTTTCTTTTAAGTGAAGAGCCCACCTGGAACCACAGAGCACGAAACTCCTATCTGTATCTCAAACGGGTCGCGTCAGTATTTTCATTGGGTTGGGTTGAAAGTTATCATTAAAATACTGAACTTTAGCTTAACTGTTACAAAATGTACATACTCTTTACAGATCAAAGAGAAGAGAATGATTACCTTTTTTTTTTATTAAAGATGATATTTTACTCCAAAGTACTGAATATAGTATCTTTTTTCTTAATAGGTATAACATTCAAAAAAGAGATTTAAGAAAGGATGAAAATTTAGTTTTCTCATTTCACTTGGAAACAAAACTTTTGCTGAACAATAGAAACGCACTAGTGTATTGTGAACAACCTACGCTCGGTATTTACATATTGCTGGTACCTGTATGCCTATTATTGCCAAATTTTTGCTGTGGCAGGCGAGGCTGCATCTGAAGCCAACGGCGTGTGTCCCAGCCGCAGGGGCGCCTGCGCACACGCCTCTTGCCCGGTTGCATTTTTTGCAGCGGAGTCCGGCTGAGCGGCGGCTCGCGGGTGTGAGCGGCCATACAGATAGGAGTATTCCATCCAACTCGCCTTCTGACACAGTGATTCGATAAACTGAAAACCCACCCTAAAAGCACCCACTGAACACAGGTTTTCCTTTCCAAACAGAGAACTTCTTTGGATACTAAACACCGATGCCGTCAGCACTACCTCCAGACAAACCACAACTTGTACGGGTTACCATTCAGCGTATTTGTGACCCCTACAAAAAATATAATTACATGTATCATGATAAAGCGATCTGTCATCTAAAAATCATCCTTATTATACACTATACAAGCTATTTTACAGTCATTTAATAAATTGCTTTTAAAGCTGCAGTAGCCCTTCCCTTCTTTTCTCGGATCAGCGAATATACCGATTATACATATTTGAAACTATAACTAAATATAAAAATATATTAGGTTTTGTATTTTATCAGACGATCTTTCTCTTTTCTATTACACAAATAATCTGGCCACTTTGCGTAAAAATCAAATTTTAGAGTGGCTTAGTAAATATTTAAATTTTGAGATACAGAAAATTGTTAAGGTGCACGTAGAAAAGGCTACTACAGCTTCTAAACGTTTTAAAATATAGTTATCGATGGCAAGGAGGAGAAATCCACGAGACCTGTGGGGGTTCGATGGCACGGCAGTAATCCGTACGAAGGGACGCAGCCTTACAAAGACAGAAAGTTTGACGTACGACTCTAAGACCACAAGATCAGTAGCGGAGCTTTCCTGCTCTCCAGGAAAGGGGGAGCGAGGCGGTGGCGGGTGGGGAGGGGGCTCTGAGCACAGGGTCTGTACAGCCTCTGCTCCGCGCGGTGGGGACGGGGCTCGCGCCGGAGGAGAGATCTCCAGAATCGGTACAAGAAACGGAACAAAACCAGACCGCTGGGCGTAATTACATGTCTGCCTCAAGTCAATGGTATTTTTCCATATATACTTGTATGATGATAGATTTAAGTGTATAGAAAATGTGAGTTTCTCCACACAGAAGTAAACTTTTCTTAAGCTATGCATATTTTCCTGAAAATTTCCTGATGGGCAGTCAGGACTGATCTTCTTGGCATCAATGCAGCCCATGACTCTTATAGTTATGGCTGTTGCATTATATGCAAAAATCAGGCTTTTTTTTTTTTTTTTTCTTCAATATATAAAATAACCTGCTCATTTACATCCAGTTAGGACTGGGTTAATTTTCTTTGAATCTGCATATCCAACACTTTTGCACATATACCAAAAGTATTTGTTTCATTCACATCTACTTAAATTAGATTTGAGAGTGTTCTCCCACCCACCTCGGCCCTTAAAAAATGTCAAACTTTTATGGTCACTTTGACAAGTTCAAAGCTATTAGGTTAGAAAAGCCCAACCCATTTTCACACGCATATACTCAAGGATTACTGTCTAGAGGTCATTTAGGAAAGCTACGAGCTGCCCCACCTTAAAAAACCAGCTGTACAATAGGCATCTTGAAGTATTACAAAAAAATTATGTAAGAAAAAATGAACAAGCCTAGTTCACGGTATATAAAGTTAAAGGAAATTGCTAAAACCAGACAGTAATAGCTATAAAAGGCACAACTTCCCTTTTCTGATATACACTTGTAAACTTTCTTCAGGTTACATGCATAAACCAAAACGCTACCTTAACTTTAAAAAAAAAAAAAAAAAAAAAAAATGTCTCCAGCCAACTGCAGAAATTAATTAGCAGAATGTTCGTGTAACAGCCTCAGATCTTGTCACTGGTGGTTTTGATGCATCCATGGATGTTGCACGAGGGGAGAGATAATTTCTGACAAGCAAGATTTATTTTCCTTTCCTTTCTCCCCAGTTATTTACCAAATGTGAGAAATCCGCTGCTTCTATAGCCTAAATCTTGGCCCTCTGTAAACCACATGTAGTGCATAATTACAAAAGGAACACCGCTGCAAGGACAAAATTAACAAGTTCTGTAGGTTTTTTTTCTTTACAAAAAAAAAAAAAAAAAGCTATCATTTGATGTTTTCTTAAGGCAACCCTTTTGTATTAAGGCAGTCACTTTTGATGAAATAAGAGCTTCTTGATATTTCCATTTGAATATTTTGGTATCTGATTGCTGATGATTTCTGCCAACATTTCTGGGAACTCAATACTCATGGATTTATCCAAAAACGTCTGGAAGCAAAAGCTCAGAAGATTTTCAACCACCTACAAGTGATAAAGCAAAGAATTACTTTCACACGAATACATGCAGAAGAACTATTAACCTCCATCCCTTCTCCCCGGCGTCTGCAGCCAGGCCCTTGCCAGCCCCCGGGCGAGCTCGCCTCCCAGCCCGCGCGGGCAACGCCTGGGGCGCGGGGCAGACACGCATCATCCTCGTTTTAATTAGTAAGTCTTGCAAATGGCATTCTACTATAAAACAAGGGAGCAGATTGTGCAAGGTCTTTACAAATACTGAAGAGATTCTGTATCAATTCCCACTCTAGCATATAAATAACGTACAGATGGACAAGCTTAATAAGATCTTTCCAAGTTGGTGCGTTAACAAGAAAAAAAATATTTGTTGAGGTCTCAGAGTTTCCCTTGCCTTATCCAGCTTAAAGACTACTTGGACTGCTTTGCACTGCACGCACAATTTGGAGTGCATACCGCAAAAGGAGACGGCCCGAATTCTGAAATTCCTTGCAAAATTAGACTGCTACTTATACTAAAAATAGCACTGATGCGTTATTTTCACACAATTTCAAACAGTCCTCTAGATTCTTAGATAGTTTGTCTCTGAGATAATACTGTTTTTAAACTTCACGTCTCTGCTGCTACTGCAAAATCATTTAGAATTTCCGAGGCCCTCCATTTTAAAGCAACATCATTTTAAAAAGCTAAACAGACTGAAAATTATATTAATTATAAAAATAATTGCCGCAGAGTCCATTGCAAAAGTCATCTAAAAGCACCACGTTCACCTCTTTCAATTAGCCGTTGGTCAGACGTAGGGGAGCGTGACCGGCGCCTCCACCCCGCCCTGCCCCAACATTTATCCCTTTAAATAAAAGGATCGCGGAGATTACTGTCATATCCCAACCTCATTTATCTGGAACATCTGCAGCATTCCTTTCAGAACTTACATCATGCATAGAGTCCAACAGTTTAGTCAGCTGATAAAACCGCTGCCAGTTCTGGCTCGAGTTCCCTTCTCTCTTCACTATGGCCTTGCCCAGCTCTTTAATGTACGTCATACGAATTTCTTCAAACAAAGATTGACTCTTCAGGCCTTCCTTAGGAACTGTAACATTGATATGAACCTTTAAGACGTTATACATCTATGAACTGTGTTATTATTTAAGTTCTATTACATTAGTTACATGAAGATGACCAAAAGAAAAAGGACTTTGATTTAATGGAATGACAGCTGAGAGAGAAAGAAAGAGAGCAGAAACTGAGAGGGATGGCTAGCTGAACAAATAGCACAGGACCGCTGGCAAAATAAAAATAAAAAACCCCAAAGGTGACCCAGCAAGAAACAGAGGGAAAGGAATCAGACCGTGGAGGCAACAACACTAAGCCCTGGAGGTGCCCTGAAGAACCACCACCAGGGCTGGAGGTCCCGTGTCCCCAGCGTCAGGGGAAATGCGACGTTGCAAAGATTCCACAGAAATTCCGTGTGCTGAGGGAAGAGCAAGGGTAGGATCACAGGAGGGCCTGGCTTGGGAAGGATCTTGAAAGATCATCTAGTTCCAAGCCCAACATGGATCAAATAACGCACCTAGGCAAGGCAGTAACAGAGTCTGGACGACAAACGGACTGCCCATGCCAGGGAGGACTCGGGGCTCGGGCAGAGCTTCTTGGAATAGGGACAGACACTGAGATAGCGCCGGGCAGGCGGGGAGCTGTGGGGTACGAGCCCAAGGCGTGGGGGCCGAGGCCTCTATTCAGCCTCAAACCCACGTTAAATCCCGGCACCTCCGTTCTCTCCTACTAGGGTGGTCCTTCCAAAGGCCACGGACTAGTACATCAGGACAGACCAAGCATGAGGACTCCAGTGGTCCTTAAGATGTTTGATCTGAAGCCTTTGGCTCCCTTGGTGAAGGGAACGGAAAGAGCTGAAGATACAGAAGAGACTGAGACAAAGCTGACTGAAAGCACAGAGGAAAGAGGCCACTAAAGCACGTTCCCTTCCCTAAAAAAATCCAACCCTCGCTACACTGTCAGCACCTGAGAGATGCTGGAGTCAAGTAACCTGCCTGCCTTGCCTACAGGGGAGATGAGTAACTTAAATGGAAAAGGTCTGTGAGCTACGTCTACGCGTGAGCTGGTATCTAGACCCGCGTGGGACTCCTGTTTTACTCCTCCTCCTCCTCTTCTCTTGGAAAACTTTACACAGAAACACAATAAACATAAATTAAAATTGTGAAGTTGCGGCTTTGAAAGCTATACAAATTTCAGCTATTCAACTTTCAGAAGTTCCACAATGTACCCCTTACACAATGTACGTACTCGGACAGAAATGTGAAAATATATTTATTGTCTTTCACTGTAAATGGAAGCGAGAGGCCTTCTGCTGGTTCAGGCCGGTGCTTGCCATACGTCACTCGTCAACGGGCTTAATTCTACGAGTGTTGCCTCTTCACCATTCCTGCCATGGAAACTCCTTTAAGGAAATTTCCAATTCCTGTAAGGAAAGTTGGCCTACACCACATCCAAAACACTTGAGGAATTTTCGGGAGCGATTTCAGAAACTGCTTTAAATCTGCAGTTTTGGGGAAGTTTCAAGTTCCTACAAAGCCCACGTCAGCGTGGAGCTGAAAGTTTCCTCTGAAAAGAGCCCTTGTCCCAGTTCTGGGCTTGGCAGGCGAGGCTGCGCCGGCCCTTGCCAGGCCGCCGAGGTGACGGGCCGGGGGGGAACCGGCCGCGGCAGCGTCCAGCGCCCGACACCTCTCCTGCCCGCGCCCTCCCCCGGGGCTTCACGGGGCCTCAGCACGGGGCCACGGGACCCTCCTGCTGCCCGTGGGGAAAAGCCCAAAGCCATCACGTTCTCATTGGTTTAGAAGAATTGTTATTCCCTGGAAATACCAAAGATAAGGAACCTTTGAGCCCTCGGTGAAACAAACCGACTACAGTTTTTAATGAACTATCTAAAATTTTAAAAACTACGTCTTTTTAGTCACATAGAAGTACCATGCCAAAAAAATAATCTTTACTGGCATCGCTGCTCTTACAGATACTTTTAAAGCGTAGCAGTGTACCTGTCACTGCACTAAACCAAAAATAACCTCCTGTCACGCAGACGCAGCAAAGGCTCCAGGGAAACCGCAGTCGCTGCCCGAGACGCAGCTCTGCAGGTCCCGCGGGCATCCCTGCCAGGGGCTTAAGCGTGGCACATGGGGCATTTCTCTAGAGTCTAAAAAGGACGGTTCTGACAGTGACATTTCATGCAGTGCAGACCGCAGAACTTACCTAAGCTGTGACGTGTTTTAACTACAGCATATCTCGTCAAATGACATAACACCCGTCAGGTAGTATGTGAGATCTCTGATGGATTAGATAGCTTCGGTGTATTAGATAAATCTATCTCACGGCGCCTATGGCAAATCTACCATACACTTTTTAGATGCAAAACGCTGTAATTGTATTTAACAACTCTGAAATGAGTTCTGGGGGAGTTTGTTAACTTTTCTGGGGGGTAAACTGCTTCACTGGATCAGAACTTCCTCACGGGTGATGGCAGATTTTTTGCTCTGGTTACGTTATTTTGCCTGGGTTTTTTTGTTTGTTAGAGTGTTTTTGATTGGGGTTTTTTTTTGTTTGTTTTTTTAAAGTATTTCATAGGCACGAAGTTCACAGCTTTGCCCGTTTCTCTTGAGTTCTGAACTCCTCAGCCAGTTTGTGATTTATATATTTTTGAAGAATTTCAAATTGCAATTTTGAGTTAGGCCCCTCTGTTGGACTTGGGAAGTTTTGAACACCGTCCATAATATCTCAGCACGAATGGGCTGTATTTGCTAAAAGCAGAAGTGCCTTCGCTAACCCGCACGATCAGGTGCCAGGCAGAACATTGTGACTTGTGTTTGCTATCAGATACCTAAACACAATTTTAAACTACACGTGCACGCTCGTAACACTGGCAAGTCAAACTTACGTTGTTCACACGGGTATTTAACTGTTCACCTACTTGTAGAGAGGAGAAGCAACGTTTTCATGCAGAGATACTCTTCATATGAGACTTGAAGCCGTGATAGCTCTCGGGCAACCATAAGCATATGTTTGCATTGTTCATACATACAGGGTAGGTTCATTCTCTGCCTGAGAAAGAAGAGCATAAAAGTTAGTTCAATGTCTACTTATCTAAAAATTCTAAACCTAAGTCTCTCCACGCTTCATCCAAGAGCAGTGGGGGCCACAGAGGCAGATTACAAGCGAGTTCATGATCTATCTTGCAGCAAAACAATCTGGTTTTCTCCAGTGAAGCCGTTCAGGGCGATTGCCTTTGTCAGGGCACGTAAGCGCCGGCCTAGAACTGCAGCCCGGGGAGCACGACCTTGAAATCCCTGGGTCACCAGGGAGGGCCGGTCTCTGCCAAGGACCCATCAGGGAGCTGCTGGCAACAGGTACCACCTAACAGCTCCTCGCAACGCTGACAGAAAGATCAAGTTCAGGCACCGTGTAACAAACTTCCTCAAGTCTGGCAGTCCCAAAGTATTTAATCCGTATAAAGAACCATGGCGGTATATTATTATACCCTGAGATGAGATTTCTCTGTCTTTGAAAAGTTCACCAAAATTTACTATATATTTGCTCACTAGTGACAGCATCAACTGGCCGTAACTTCTCAATTTTCAAAGTGACTTCATACTTCTTGTACTCCTTTTACTTCTTAAAAATACGCCTAGTATTGCAATTACATTTTGTTACCTTTGAAATAATACAAGAATTATATTGTAATTATAAGAAACCTCAATAATAAGGTTTCTAACCATAAATGGAAAGACGTATTGACAACCAAAGGAAAATCTTGGAAACCACTTACTTGGAAGCAGAATGACAAACATTATATATTTATAAATTTTTTCCTTTTACTAGTCCTGCATCACGACAGGAACTCCTCCTTTTATTTAGTACCTCACCTGACGCAACGCATGTGCTTTTAAAGCTGGTTACTGTGCATACTGCAGGATTACAGTTTTGGGTGGAAAATAAACAAGAACAGATTCATTCTGAAGAGTGTAAGAGAGATTCATGCTTTTCCAGTGTAAACTGTTGTAGAGAAAAAGACAGGCAAAATAGCACATTTCAAATGCAATGACTACATCACCTCCCTACAGCAATGCCAGCGATTTATTTTTCATTAATGATGTGTCATCTTTTCCAAGGCATCACCTATTCAGCAGTATAATCTAAAGACACAGATAAAATTGAATCCCAGTATAAGTTAAGATCTGGTTATGAAACCACACCAACCTCTCCAGAGCTACTATCACTTTCCAGTTCTCTCTTTCTTAGCCCTGCACGACAATTATATAATGTACCCTCACGAGCACCCGAAGAAAGCCCAAGTGAAGGCAGGAAGATGCACCTTCCCTCAAGATGCAAAAACCCGAGAATAACAACAGGAATTCGGAGGGTTTGAAAGAAGGAAAGAAACACAAGCTATTGAAAGCAAATCAAGTGCAAGCCCATGATTTCCAAAGGCATGTGGCCGGCCAACTCCGGCACGTAAGGGGACTGTCTGCACACCTACAGCCACCGGCGTGATGTCGACGTCAGTAATCGAGGAGGAACAGCGAGAATAGAGTGCACATGAGGTCACGCTGCGTGAACCAGGAGTAAGTGTAAGATGTTCAGTTGTAGGATGTTTCTCGGGGTGCTTGACACAAAGCCACTATTTGGCCGTTTGGCAAATTTTCTCCCAACCTCTCTGGGTTGTATCAAAGGGCATCTTACATATTTCAAATTGAGTAATTGAAACCCATTCTGTGACAGGGCTCAGCAGTTTTCCTCATGTAAAACTATTACCATTTCTGGGCAAAAGGTTAAAATAAACATTATGAAATGGGTCAGCCTGTCATTTACTTCTGTCTGCTGAAAATGCAATCACATCCGCGGGTCTGAGAATCCGTGTGAAGGTTTTTGGTAAGGCCAAGGCGACGCTAACGGCAGCCCTCAAAAACCCAGAGTAAAACACAGCCCCGCTCCCTTCAGAGGAGCCCGAGCGCCGGGGTGAGCTCCGCACCGTGCCCGGGGGGGGCCGGGCCCCATCTGAGCAAGAGGGAAGCTGATTCACTGCACAGCCCGTGGTGCTGGCGAAGGGTCTGGAAGAGGTCCCAGACATTCCCCCGCCCATCTCCCGGCCAGAGCGCACCAGATGATCCCAGCTGCCGCGGGGGCTTCGGGCTCCCCCTGACTCCCTGCTCGGTGTCACGGGTCCCCCTCCCTACAGAGGACATTTAGCAACTTGGGAATTGATTCACCCACGCATGAACCAGATGGAATACTTAAAGTAGGTGTACGGCTAATTAAAATAGGTATTATACTTAGTGATGACATCACACGTGATTCCTTCTTAGCAGAAACTATCTACAGAACTGTAGTGACTTTGTGGAGTCTTCAAGCCAAGCTCTGGTGATGGCCAGGGCTGGTAGTCCTGGGCAAGCTGAAAGGTCTGGCAGCTGCCTGCACCCCCCAAGAGTTGGGGAGCGGCTGCTGCCGAGGCAGAGCCGGTGCCAAGGCCCGGGGGAGCACCCGGGAGCTCCCCGGCGACGCGGGGCAGGTCACAGCACTTCAGTGCTTTTGCAAGTATTGCCATTCATATCAATTGAGACTTAAAACAGCTGACTGATGGCATTTTATCACTTCTGAAGCGATCCTGCTTCAGTGATTGCAAATCTAATCCCATTTGAATCGCCTTCTTGTTCTGTAAGTGTCCAATATTCCTCTGCTTTCGTAACCAGCTACCTCAGAAACGAACACACGAGTCGGGCATTAGTGGCAAGTTTGAGCTCGATGGCAGCCCATGTCATGTACACGGGATGTACATAGGCTTGCTGTGTGGGATGCATGTTGATGATAAAAGCATGTGATGATTTTCAACACTGCCGTGAGTCATTCAGTTCAGCTAAGTCTATAAAAGAATAAAAACCGGTAAACAAGATGCTGGCATTCTGAAAAACAGATGATACCGACTCCACAGAACCAGTTGCAAAAGAATGTTCAGAAAAAAATTCTGGGAATAAGAGCACAGATAAAACATTGCTTTTAAAACTGTAATTGCTTGTTATTTTCTTTCCATTCAAAGAACAGCAATACAGACATTCTGTACAATAATACTGTAGGGAGACATGAGCCCAAACCTAAGAAGAGCAAAGAGATGATGAGCACGCGGACTCAAAAAACCTGGAACTTCCAAGAACTTATTTCTAAAGCCAGGCAGCAATTAAATGGCCTTTGCTACTCCATGAACACAGCTGTGCAACTGTTGCTCACTGTAAGTCCCTGTACACTGTGAGGTAACCAGGGGCCTAAAGCTGATATACTAACAGGGCCAGTCCCAACGAAAACAGGTTTTGAATCATGAATAGTGGAAACGGTTACACAAGACTACAAATCACAGGTTTATACAATCTCCAAATACTAAATGATGGTCTGAAGCCTAAGATTTATTAAGCTGCCAAACCTGTCAACAACTTGAATTGAGGGCTCTTTTTTGGTGTGTGTCTATATAAAAAGATACATGTATTATGTATGAAATTGCCAGCTGATACAGACATAACTCTAAGAAAAAGGTAATTCTTGTTTTGAAATGTAAAATGATGAGCTTACTAAATAGTCACACACTATTTCATTAAAGCATATTATTTCTACCCAGAGATGAAGTATAGAAATATAAATCTAAAATTTATCCAAAGCCTTAAAATAACTGGAATTACATTTCTGCCCCTCCCTTGATGAGGAGCTGGGTCAACTGGAACCGGCAGGAGTTCCGAAAAAAATGGGAGCAGGAGGAACGCTGAAGTGACCTGTCCTCTTGCCAAAATGACAGCCGGACCTTTCCCGCTTTTTGGGTTTGTAGACAAACAAGTTAAAAGCCAAATTTTGGGTTTGTAGACAAACAAATTACAGGTGCAGTGTAAGCGCATGAGGTGAAAGCAATGCCGTGCATACGTATGGAAAACCTTTTTGCACTCAACAAGTGCTATGGGAAATAATTTATTCTCAGAGCACAGCAACTTTATAATCCACTCTGCCCAAGCCTATTAGATGTATGGACTTGACTCGTATGTGATAAACACTGTCAAATATATTGGATGATTTTATTCACTCCAAAATAAATAAATGACAGGAGCAAAGACATAAAAATGGAATATTCAATAAGTATTCAATTTTTAGGAGAAGACTGGTTAAACGACTAGGCTGCCAGCTTAAGACTTAAAGAAGAACAGAATTTAATTCTCCTTCCCACCACGGACTGAATCGATGATACCTGGAAAATTCAATTATGGCGGAATCTGCAACGGAACTAATGAACAGTGGCATTCAGCACTACCACAGCTGCAGCTACCTGAGCACTAGGCAAAACAAATCCACCGATTCCTGGGAAGATTTCTGTGCATTCATGGTAAGATATTTAGAAACGCTAAGGACCTCTTAGCTGAAAACACAGGATGACAATCCTCTTAACGGGTTAGACGGGTTCTGTCTGTACAGCCCGGTTACACGCAGCTCCCTGGGGTGTCGGCACGAGGCAGGGCATCTTGCTACTCCATGTACGGGGTAACTACACGGGAGTAACACCGGACAGGGCTGGTGCAAGGATAAATGCGTGACAGACTGAGGTTGCTCCGATGTTTGGGCAGATACATGAAACTAAAGAAAGTTCTTATTAACCCCACAAAGAATCAGATCTTAAAAAAATATTTTGCAGTTATGTCTATTTAAAACGCTTGGGCTTGGAGAACCCTTCACAGAGTTTCTCCTCCTGAAGCTGAAGACACTGAACTGTACCAAGTACGAGGACAAGATTTAAAGCTCAGAAACGGAGTAAAATAAATGGTTTCTAGAAACCCATAAAACCCCCAAAGAAAACTAAAATGGTAGTAACTGCACTTACCTGTAACCACCCAAGTAAGACAGCAGGAGGCACGGTATGCTCTGTGGTCCCACACCGTGCCCCCTGCCCCCCCGAGCATTAGCTCTCAGCAGAGACAAACTATTACTGACTCCTCCACAACTGCTACTCACAGTCCTGAACTTCACCTGGGTTAGGCTGCTGCAAGCTACACCGCATGGTGGCACAAAGGAAGTGGTTTGAGACCGACCTGAGTTTATTGTTGTAATGAACATACACAGGAATGGGAAGAAATAAGGTGATTGTAAGATGCCTGTCTGCTCCGTTTCCTGATTCACGCTGTACCTACTAACACCTATACTCTTCTTATGACCCTTCCCCGGGTCCACTGTTTAGAAGTAAAATCAAAGGAAGGTCTTTGGTGAAAAGTAGGCTAAATATATTTAAAAGATCATACTAATTAAGATTTGAATATGTGCAGTTCCATATACACAGAGAGATGTTTATCACTTACAGCATAACGCGATACATCCAGTTTTATTTGATGTTTAGACTCAGATCACACAACAGAACTGAGAGCCCATCCACGGGAGGATTTGCCACTGTTTTGTAAGGCTGAACTGACACAAGCCTGCACGAGAGGCTCACGGGAGGCCTGGAAGTTTTTGCCAACTCCACAACTCGTTTATACTGCTTTTAAGAAAAAACAAGGACATCCTCAAACTAAAGGCCGTGGCTTGAAGAGATGGAAGACCTCCTGGAATTACTGTATGCTAACACAGTATGTGTGAAGAGACATAGTTCTGGTCTAGCTCTCCACTGCAATCATGCTTTGAAACTGCAATTAATAGATACGAGGCCAGAACAAATTCTTCGTTACAAATGAAAAATGTTCATATAAAGAACAGACCTGTAGAAATGTCATTTGCAGATCTCAAAAATTACAGATTTGAACAGCTTATACCTCTTCAGCTGCGTGCATAAATCTGAAACTACCGAACAGGAAGCCAAAAATCTGATGCAGACAGCTTCAAGTTAGCTGTAAAAATGAGCATGATCCTCGAGTCCAGACAAGCAAAATGAAGGTTCTGATTTTGTTGCACATGACACCTATGCCTAACTGTATTTAGTGGAATCAAGCTTAAAAATTCATGAGAAAAAAATCACTTTTTTCCCTATTATTCCAGAGAACTCACTGTAACATTATTAAATATTACAATTGGTTTTCGAATTACCAAACAATGGAGCAGATTTGACTTTTGGATGTGATTTTACCTGCTTATATTGGTTAACGGGTTTTAACAAATGATTCTTACACCAAATTATGTTTTTTAGAGAAGCTAGAAACAGGTCCAAGGTAGAGCAGTAAGTTAACTTTACGAAAGAGCTTCAGGGGTGGTGGCGGGAAGCAGCTGTCGGGGTGAAAGATCACTAAAACGCCTATCAGAGAGCAGCACTGAGTAACCCCCAGAAGGGTTTTTAGGGGATATTATGTGCCGCAGTACTGCCTTCTGAATGATGTATCAAGCAGTGAGAGTGGGCACACCTGATCATTAAAATCCAAGTGTATTTTTTTTCTCGATGTCCCTGACGTCTCTCTTGCCCGACACCCACCCGCCGGCACCAGCAGCTCCTCGCCAGCGGCGCTGCCCCGCTGCCTCTCCCTGCAGCACTGTGCTTCAGAAGCTTCTAATAACTCATGCACTGGTTTTATGTATTATTCAGTATTTGCCATGTTTAACTCGGAGGTTGCTGTATTTTATTGATGAATGGTACATAAAAAGTTACGACCAGCGAGTTTTATGGGGAACCTGTAGCACACTGGAGAAGAAATTGCAGTTCTCTCAGTCTACATATTTTATTGAAAACAAATGTCATTCTGATAAACAATTTATGTACCAAAACTGTAACTAGAATAAATCTGAGAATTAATATTTAGTCTGATAGGATTACCCTTGCATTTGTTTTTTTAGCTGTAAAGCTCTGTGGTTTTGACCCATAGATAAAACAGCAGGAAACCTCTGACTTAAAGCAAATCAGGTGTTATTGCACCTATTAGTGACAACATCAATTATTTCAACTCCGCCACACAGAGACTATTCTACTCCAGAGACATATTCTAAGAACTTTAATAAATGTAAGTACACAGATGGGCCCTCACCTGTCGTCTGCTCCTCACCTTCTTTTGAAAAATTGTCATTATAAAGAAATGATTACAGTTTATAAAAGCCTGGACAAACATTTACACTGAAAAAATAACGGGAATAAATAAACATGAAAAAAGTAGTCTGAAATGTAAATGGCTAATCTCATAGAAAATGTAACAATTACTTTTTTTTAAACAGACAAAAGATTTGTGAGATCTGATACTGAAGTGCAATAGGAACAAAACTATTGACTATTGTCTCCCAGCATGCCAAAGGGATTAGTACTGCCTCCGTTTTACAGACAGAAAAACAGATGGGAACAAAACCTTGTCACTTGCATCAATTTGTAAATTATTGTCAGTGAAACTGCAATGCTAAAAATCCCGTTGATTATATGTGTCCAAGCCTGTGTAATCATATTTATTAGTTTTAGCCCCCACAAATGGACTATGTCATTGCAACAGCAAATCCAGAGTGAGAGCATCATATTAATGGGAAGCTGCAGATGGGTAATCTAGGTTTTGAATGGCTCTGGCCAGCAGCCTCGAAGATTTACATTCACAGAATATTTTCAGCAAATAATTCAAAGTAAAGACAAAATGCCTCGACAGAGGCTTGATAAATATTCCTAGCACCACTGGAATTGCAAGACTGAAAGATCCCTGGAAAGGTCTGTTACAGACTACGCAGACACACTTCCACCTGCTCGAAGAAGCGTTTTTTGAAAAATATGAGCTGAAGGACCCGATTGCTGAAACGGCTTCAAGTAAAAGGCGGGAGAAAGTGTCAGTGTGGGGGGCCTGGTTCCCGAACCCACCCAGCAGGAGAGGGTTTGGAGGGAGTGTTTCCTCTCCAGGCTAGAGGCAGGAAGGCACCACCTAACCTCAGCTGCTCCGACACCTTTGAAACAGGCTGTGGAAAGTAACAGAACTGCAGCTATTTCTGTGCAAGAAGTCCATCCCCGCTACACCTTGGATTAAGCCTTCTGCCCATCCCCTCGGCAATCCTGAGTTCCTGCTTTCACCCCTCTACAACACGGAATTACTGCACAACACGGACTTGAAAAATACAAGGCAAAATGATGCAAGGTGCAAGAAATGTCCAAATATTCTGGCAAATTCAACTTTTCTTGAGAACTGGTTACAAAGTTCAACGGGAAAATTATAAATGAGACGTTTTTTCATCTGTAACCTTATCTTTTGAGACAGATTTTAATCAGGCTCAGATATAAATGCTGAACTGATCAAAACCTCTGTGAAACTAGCAGGACTTTTATACAACAAACATACAGAACACTATGCAATTGCCAAACTTTTCGCTCCATCCCAGATATATTTTTAGCTTTAACTGTGTTGGCTCTGATAAAATGAATGATTGTAATGAATGGTGCAGGAACAGTCACAATATGGAATGTTTTAGTACAAACACCTCCCACAAAAACTTCTTGATATAAATACACTTAATATCTAAACTATCTTTCTTTCATTTGACTTATTTAAAAACTCTAAGCAATCTGCTAAAAGAAAAACAAGTTGCAAATGACAGACTGATCTGTGATCTCTGGAAGAATTTGCTACCCAGTGATTCACCTCTCAAGTGCAAAACCCAGAAACACTCCGTGGAGTCTAAAATCACCCCGAGAAACCTGGAGAATGACTCATGTCTTACTTACTCGTTAATAATCAGATCTGGTGCGAAGCACAGGAGATTTCCGTTTGATTGTTTATATGATCTCCATCCCAAAGCAAAAGCCATCAGGAACATCCACGAGTACTGCAGAAGGGTCATTTGGTCATCCAGATGTAAATTTCGGAAACCTGGAAAAATAACAGTGGAGGTGTGACAGCATCGGTTGCAAAAAAAAAAAAAAAAAAAAAAAAAAAAAAAAAAAAAAAAAAAGACCACGGTTATCGCCAGTACAACTGCTGTATTATCAGTGTAATTACCACTTTTAAAAGTGTATTTGATAACCATTTCTGTAACTGTGGTGACTGTAACCTGAAATAACGCAAAATTTCCTACCGTATTAGATTAATCTGATTCAGTCAAGTATTTTAGATTAGATCTTTGGCAGAAGAAAGAAATAAACTAGAACAGCAAGAGGTTTCTTATGAGGAAGCTCTTGCTGGATGAAAAAAAATGCACTTTAAAATGGGTGCAAACCTTCAATGCCATGTCCCAGCTACTAAAGCCACATTCAAATACTCAGTACACCATTAAGGTGCAAAACTTTGCATATGTAGAAATTAAGTTTTTGTAACCACAGGACTCCAGTTACGTCTTCTGGACAACATGGCTACGCACGAGTCCTGAAAGGTCGGAGCAGAAAGCTGCAACACAACCCAACCTTGAGCTGGGTGGAACCTGTGACTCTCAACTGCACAAAACACAGAAAAATAGGCAAAAGAGAGCAACAGAAAGAGTAACTCTGGGACTCTGCATTATACATTCTATTCCTACTTACACATACACATTTCAACATAAGTTCTCAGCACCCATCTATAAAAGCACATGCGCCTGGAAGCCCTGACAGACACCACGTCAGGGGTGTTCTGGGCAGACCGAGTACCAGAGGGGTAAGTTTTGACAGGTACTACGAGTATTAAAATGGGATGTAATATTAAAAAAAAAATAAAATCAGAATATATGCACGTGCTTATCTGGAACTGATGGTCAGTTAGATTACAAAAGACCGCAGTTCCATTTAATATACACTATAATTCACTGGGCTATCTTCCAAAAATAACAGAATATTGTATTTTTTGTGGGAGCAGTCCACCAGACAATAGATGGTTTCATGTCAAATTTTGTTCTTATTCAACAACAACTGTACACTGAATTTACAAAACATGTATCGCATTAGTTACCATCTTTAACTGCTTCTAAACTTTTAGGAATATGTAGCACGGACAGAGCCAATTAGACAATGAGGAAACGTACAGAATCCGAAAACTGGCCCCTTGAACAGCCTTACAATGTAGGCAGCTTTTAATTTGCAACACCAGTTTCTATCAGATCCCGCCTACATTTAGCAAGAAAATACTGTGCCATATTGAATCATTATTAAAGCCTGCATTCAAGTTGATTTTATCTAATTTTATTAAGCATGTGACATCTAAAGAGCTCGCACCAGGGCTGCTTCCTGAAGACGTGCCGATAGCATTCAGCAGGCCAATATATAACATAATGCCTAACAACTTCCAAACAACCTCCTGGCTTTGGAGACAGCAGTAACTACCATTTACTACTTCTAAAACGCAAGCAAAGTGTTTCAAAGTTACCTCAAACTTACTGGGTCAGATCTTGAAATCTTTGCTCAAACCCTCCTCAGGAAAAGGTTATTTTGAAATCCCAACTAAAGGGTTTGGCAACCAGTGCTGGCTTAGCGTTAGTAGGTCTGATGGTGTACAACCAGTAGGGCTACATACAAATTAAATACTCGTGAACAACCACCTTAGCAAACAAAAAAAAAAAAGAAGATGAAAAGTGATAAGAGTAGTTCCTATTAATGTAATTATTAAAGAGAAGACTGGCATTTTCATTAAGAACATATGTTCTAACCTGAAGGGTTTGTCTAATTAGGGAAACTGTTCACAAGAGATTATGAACACAGAACTGCTTTACATCTAAATTTGTATTTGAGAATACCAGATGGTCTCCTAAAGCCTTGCCCCAGAAGAAAGCGTGCGCATGGGAACTTCTCCTGACGCAGACCTCAGTGAATCCAGCTCGATGCCCCCTGCAGACAAGCCCTGACAGACGTACAGAGCGGTTCCCATCTCTGCTGGACACACAGATCTGGGTTTACTATTCCTTCTTTCCCACTGTTAATTTATTTCTCCTCCCTCAAGAGAGACACCATTATGACTCACAGGTTTCATTATCAGACTTCGTGTTTTTTTTGGCAGACCTGTTATGTGATGTTATTCTTGGGCAACACATGCATTCTGGAAGTGGTTTTGCTCAGGGTTTTGAGAACAGGTAGCTAACGGGACTGAGCAGCAGGGAAAGGGAGAAAACCACTGCTTTTTGTTCGGTCAGGAATAAATGTGCCTCCAGCTTCAGTTCTGGCTCTGTCCTCTCCCGAGGACATACTGCTGAGATTGGATATTGCTTCTCCTGTAAGGCAACTGCTTCCTCAGTCTTCAGGTGGGAGCCAGAGGAGCCACAAACCTTCCACACGCCCCAGGTGACAGTTTGATCACACGTGTCACTACAGTGCTTGAGAGAAAACAAACATCCTGACTTCCACCCTGGAACTGGATGCTCAAATGCCTACTCCCAGGCAAGAAAAAAACTACTGATATGGTGAGGGGTAGTAAAAAAAAAAAATAAAGAAAAAGAACCACCCGTGAATGCAGACCCAGCCAAGCCAGTACAGCTGCACCAGTGTGTAGAAGTCGAGAACCTCATTGCTAAAAATATTCAAGAAATAATTATCAAAGAGGTGGAGCTAGAGCTAACAGAAATAGTTCACTGTATTACTTTTAAAAACAAATCTCTATTCTACTATGAATTTTAACATTCAGCGGTCAAAGGGCTCGAGTAAAATGACCTAACTTGTAATCCTAGGAAATAAATTTTTGCACCTGTGTTTTTCCTGCTTTTCCACTCCAGATGTAGTTGAGACACAAAGTAGCTCAGATATTACTAAAACTTCACCCGGGAAGGCTGTGAAATACCAAATACAAAAACTGTGCTTTGTAACAAATGCATTCCCCCGCTACCTGGAATTGCCTTTGCCCACTTCACCGCAGCCACGACCTGCCGCCCGCCCAGCATGTTGAGGGTGGAGAGGATGCGCCAGCTGGAGTCGGGCAGGGTGCTGTCGTAGCCCGAGTACAGCACCTCGGGCTCGATCACCTCCAGCAGCGAAACCAGCGTCGGCGTCAGCTGCGGCAGCGACGCGGGGACGATGCTCTTGTTTCCAGGCGTTTCAGAAACCTCCCGTGTTCCCGTTGCGCTCGTCTGCTGAATTCCTTTTATCTTCTTCTTTGTTTTTCGAGCTAGGAAAGTTTTGGTGAGTCACAGGTTAGATAATGGAAAGCGGCCGCACAGCTATAAAAACGTAACGGAGGAAATGCTGCTTTTGTTTTCCTGCAGTTGTAGATCAGGCAGTTGAAACTCGAAAAGCGTTTTGTCATCAATTTGTAAATAATTTCACATTAATTCTAATTAAGCTTCCCGTGCAAATAAGTTTATTTTACATTTTAATTAAACATTTATGTTACCGATTCAAAATGGTAAATAATGTCTGCAGGCAGTGCAAATACAAGCCCTGATCCTAGAATTTCTCTTACGTGCAAAATTTCAGTGAAACTTCATTTGACAGCCTGACACCTGTTTGGAAATCCTTGCAGGACTGTGTGCAGTTTCTTAAAAGATTAAGCATAGAAACCACACAGATGAAAGGAAAAAAAAATAATTTAATGGTTAAGGAGTTACTCAATCTCTCGAGCCAGGGAAAACATTTTTTGAAAATGTTGGGCAGGAGGAGATTTTTCTCTTGCCAACTCTCTTGCATATAAATCATTGCTGCGTAATTAAACCATAAAACTCATTCGCCAAATAAATAAAATATCACACAGAGATGTTAACTGTAAACTAAAAAAAGTTGGAGCAACGATTTTATTAGCATATTGTCAGTAATGGAGTCTCGACTCGGCTTTCAGCAGCCCGGATGCAGGCAGCTACACCAAACGACTATTTAGCAGAGACCAAAACGCAGCCCAGTTCTGTTCCTGTGTCTCAATTAATTAATTGATTTCTGTTCTGGAACTTTGCGATAAATCAGTAGCACATAAACACATCATGTAACGTGCTTTCACATTCATAGCTCCTACTGACCTATTCAGAATCTCCGATCATCAGAAACGCGCCAACCCTGGAGCTTTCCAACCCAGAAAATCCCCCTCCTGACCCGCTAAAGAGCCGAAATTCTCCACAGACCTTGTGTAAACTGCAGTTTCCCAAAGGCTTATACACCGGCCACGTTTGCCAAGACTGTCATGGGGGAATAGCAACAGTTATTTCCTTGGAGCAAAGGGCTTCTTGTTATTCTCAGCAAAATTTTGAAATGGCTGCTCCAAAATCCTTTCAACGTTCCGGCATTTTTTGCCCCGCTGTCCTTGTTCTCAAAAGCAAAGGAACTGCTTTGGCTTAAATTTACCTGCACGTGCCTTCAGCTTAATGCAGACACCTGGTCTGGAGTATTTCCAGCCCAGAAAGTCTGGTAAAATTATAATCAAAAGAAATATATCTGATAAGACAAAGTATTATGCAAAAATTTTTATTAGGCTATGCTACTAGACCTGACTTAGATATATAGTTGTAGCTCACAAAAAAGAAGGTTGAAATAATGTATTTCTTTACAACTTCTTTTCAAATCTAAAAATACCACAAATTTAAAACCAGCTCCTTAGGGCAAATTACAGAAGATGATCCATACATATAAGCTCGGCATGAAAATAAAAGCATCCAAGATTTTCTGTTTGAAACAAACAACTCCTCCCCTCAAAACCCCTGCAGTTTGGCACCCAGCGAGGTCGCACAGGCTTCCTATTTGACCACACGCATTCCCTGCCGTCGGGCAGATGGTCCGTGCGCCCGAGCCACGCAGGCAGGTCGCCGTCCGGGGAGGCGCTGAAACGCTCCCACCACCACGCTGCCAGACGCAGAGACCATGCACTTCGCTTCTAAAATGGGAGTTATAATTACAAAATCCACCGCAGTTACAGAGCAGGGCAACCGATATTGTTAGGAAGAGGAAGAGATCCTTCAAACATTTGAAATAAATTCAAAATAAAGATGACAAAAAAAAAAAAAAAAAAAATCCGTGAACTGCCAAACAGTTTAACTATGAAATGCAGCCGGAAAGGCCAAAAAAAATTATGAGATGACTTTTTACAGGCATAAAGTCCAACAATAAATCTTTTTTTCCAAACACCTCAGAAAGAGAAAGGGTGCCAAGGAATGCCCAGGGTCAATTAACGATGAAAGCGGAAATGAAGATTCAAAGAAATAAAGGCTATAGTGCAAAGTATCATTAATCTACTTTATAAATCTCCAGTGCCTGCAGCTGTTAATTTTATGTTTCTCCAGTCCTCTATATCCCCCCAAAAAGCAGGCAATAGAAACAAGAAAGTTCCAGAAGAGGGTGACAGATAGGGTCAAATTTATGACTGATGATAAACCCGACTCTTATAGAAAATTAACATCTTCCTAACATACAAGGAGCCACTTTTGTCTCAGCACAAGAACAGGAAAGAATTAAAATACTGCATGGTAGATTCTATTCATTTATTTATTTAAAAATAAATTAGTCTTCTACCAACCCCAACGGTGAAATTCACTGCAGCTATTAAACCCCGGAGCTATTCAGAATGTGACTGGGCAGATTCGCCAAGCGCCCGCCCGCCCGCCAGGCTAAGTCAGACTGACATGCTATAGGGAGTTTTGATCTCTTGCCATTCATTGCCTGCTTTGCTTAGAACCATCGTTTATGCACTGAGGATACACCTGATGACTTTTCAAAAAGAGATTACTGTCTAAAAAGTATGCAAATTTAATTAGCTTTTAAACAACAGTAATTCCTGAACTGTGACCCCAAAATAGCCAAGACAAAAGGAACTCAGTTTTAGTCTCTTCTGCTCTTTATGCTGCCTTCCAGCTTTCTTTGCTATGAATTCTTCTCCACGACCAATTCACCATCTGTTCAGATCTGTCCAATAAATCATCGTTTTCATGGTTGTTTTTCACTGTTTCACACTACCTTGGGTTCCTCCATTTTTGCATTGCTGAGTTTCTAGAGCTCTTTTCCCTCTCAGTCACAAAAAACTTCCTCCCCCCCTCCTTTTTCCAACAACTTATATAACAATATCCATCCTCCAGAAAGCCACTATTCTCTAGGATTCTCTGTGCCAAAATTCAGGCAAACAAACTATAGCTGGAAGGGCTCCAAACTACATGTGGAAAAGTGGCAAGTATCAGACGTCATTCAGTTTTAATTTTCTTTGGTGCAGAAAGGCAACTCAGATAACACATCCTAGAGCCTGAGATACCTACACTGGGGTCTGCTTCAAAAAGAGTTCAAATAAAATTGGTGCAGGAAGGGAAAGGTTCACTATTAGAGTAACAGACATAATAAGGTACTTTAGTCATATAGATAAATGTATGAATACCATGTATTTATTTTGAAAACTGTGGAGAGAAAAAAAGGGAAGACTTAACACCAAATGTCTTAATTTCCAACTCAAAATGAAAATTGTGGTTTCTTGCATTACTCTGAACTTTCTTTAGGCCCGGCCGTTACCTCTCCTTGCCACGCCAGCCGCAGCAGGGCATCGCATCTTCCCACCCTGGGCACCAGGAGCAGGCAGGACTGCGCTGCCATCACCCCTGGGGCTGCAAGGATCAGCCCACTGGCAGCCTCCAAAAGCGAACTCCAGCTCCGGGGAGACACGCGCTGGCAACCTCACGTACGTGAAGGATTTGTGTGGCTGTTAAGAGCGTTCCCTCGCACCCTGCACACAGATCCAACAGCACCTCAACAAACCGGCCAGCGGCCTCCGCGCTTCCCTGCCAGCCCCTGCCACGGCGGGTGGGACGCGCCTGTAAGGATGCCATGAGGTGGGGAAGAGTTTCAGAGCGCTGGGTTTTTCCCTTTGCTCTGAAGGGACATGTAGGGGGCATGTAGAGGCACCTGCAGGGCAGGAAAACTGGGATTCACCCTCCGGAGAGAGGCTGAAGGCAAAGAGGAGGAAGGGACGTGCTAACACGGACTCCAACGTGTGTATCACCCACCTCGCCAACATAATTCACCACTTACATCTTACCAAAGGATATTATCACTGACTGAAATGAAACTCTGTTCATATTTGTATCTTACAAATACATTTTTGACATTTTTATTTTATCTGGCAATTTTGATTATAGAAGTATCACCATGATAACCACGCTAGCAAGTACTGTATTAATCTCTACAGCTCAAGGAAAAAGTATCAAGCATAAAACATAGCTGACACTAATAAAAATGTTTTATGTCATTTTACAGCTGCTGCTAAATCTCTAGTTGATGTGGTCTTCAGTTTCTCATAAGCCATCCAGGACTTAGCAGAGAAGAAATATGTACTGGTACATTTAAATTTATTTATTTAACCCTTTTTTTTTTTTTTTTCAAAGAGGTTCTTACACAGATGTTTAAGAACAATCCACAGCATGAATAAAAATAATTTCCTTTTCTTCAGTTTGAAGATACAAGCCCTACTCCAACTTTAGATCTGTGTCTCTGGGCTTTCCCCCTCATCTGTGGTTTCGGTGTCAGGTCACCCTCCTGAGTAAGGACGGGCAGGCATCACACCTCCCTGCAGGAGTTCTCCTAGAGTTCTGCTGTCTCAGATTCAGTAAAAAAGCAACAAGATATATGTGCTGACAGGAATAAAAAATAGCCCTGTTTTGTGTGTATGACTCACTTCTGCTGAACATACTGAGAGATAGAGCAACCGATGATGATAGGAAAGCACAGGAGAAATGTTAGTGTAAAAACCCCTTGCTTTTCATTAAAATTCTCATACAAGCCATAAAGTGCAGTACTTGCTTTTAACATATTAAAGTTCTGCTCAAATAATGGCCTTAGCTTCATAAGCAGCATGACCTTTATTGTCTAGGACTCAGAAACAAAAGAGGAATTTGAACATTTTAAGATACCTTCGAGGTTCATGCCAGCTTGAAGACATTTCCGGTAGCGGCATGCTGGACAGTTTTTCCTCCGAATTTTGTCAATAATGCAATCGTTTCTCCCAGCGCACAGATAGTTGTGCTGCCCTGTATTCACAGAGACAAACAAAAGAACCATAAGCTCTACAATTAGAGCAATAAATGAAGTCATTCATTCTTGCAGTAACATTAAGGATCTGGGGACTATATAATACCTTTACTTACCGTACTTCATCCCCTGCAAAAGATCAGTGCCCCTAGGATTTCATTTAACTATACACCAGACAGTCTTCTCGTATTTAGACACTAAAGCCAATCAATTTCGGTAGTAATCCTATTTGCTATTTGTTAATATCAGGCAAATTCTATTTTTAAAACTATTTCTCCTCTTAGGTTTCTCAAAGCTATCTTCCACGGCACATTTCCCGTTTCCCTGAGCAGTTTGACGGAGATGTAAATAACGTCCATGAACACATTCTGAGAGCACGCATGTAAACGTTTCTAGAGATACACAGACATAGCTTTCCTCATCTTGAAAGCCATGAAACCTCCTCCTTGTTTAACTCAAGAGCCTGAATTGGACAAACCAAGTTCTCTGACATTTTTATGGATTCACAGATTCCGAGCAAAACAGATCCGAGAAACGTGGCAACTTGAACTACATAAAATGACTCTTAGCTGCTATGGGCAGGACAACAAAAGAGTAGTATCTCTTAATTATTTGAATTATATGAATAAATTTCTTAACTTATTTAGAGAACGGTATTACTAAAAGATACATCCTTCTCCCAGATGGGGACCAAGAAAGCTGTTTCTTTAGAAGGCAGAAAACTGCAGCCTAGGCTTTTACACTGTATTTCAAAGTCCTGACAGTATAATATTGCTAGAAACAAATACATTTTCCAAATACCGAGTTATTAACAATGGAGCCTGAGAGTCTTCTCACAGGAAAGAAGCTTAAGGAATTTGTTTCAAGTCAGCTGTGAAAATTATGGGTATGCAGAGCCCATTGCTATGGCTTTAGTCAAACTTCTCCAATGAAGTGTTTCAACTTGATATTCCAAGGAAGCCCTGAACATTTTTCTGAATTAGCCCGCCTACCTTTGTCATCTGAAGAAGAGGAAGAGGAAGCCCGACCCCTGTATAATCTTTGTGTTTAAGATAACTTAGATCCAGGATTAATGTTCTCTTTGCCGTTACCATACTAATACACACAGAACGAAAACAAACGCATGCACACACGGAACACAAACCAATGACTATCTGTCACTGTTGTGGGAGAACAGAGACTACAATTTCACGTCTCACACAGACCATGGTTTCACACAGTCAATACAGAGGCTTCAGGTATAGATTTTCCTGAGCGCTTCCATTTTTTTCCTAACAAAGAGCTTCATCTCTGTGAATGTGCTGTTTGGTTTCTTGTACTTACTACATCCCTATTCTTGCCTTTTTTTTAGGTGAAAGCTACTCTATTTCTTTGCATTATATTATATTAAAGCCTTCCTGCCACACGAACGTTTTGTGGAAAAATGAAGGGAAGCTGATGCCACCTTCTGCTTCATGTCTGACTGCCGCCCGGGGACATGCCAGCTGCACAAAGGAATGCGCTTCACTTATCTTTGCTGCTCAAAACCCAGATACTTCACAAACAATACACTGATAAAAACTGGTAGTGAGCAAACGGAGACGTTTCCAAGGGGATTTACGGCAGACGGGGGCATTTTACAGAGCAGCCGGCAGCACAAACCGGCGCCTGGGGCTCTGAAGCACTGTGAGACTGAACAAGTCTTTGCTCATTTGAGCACACTGCCATGCAGAAGGTTAGAAATTGCAGACAAAGGGGTTTGGAAGATGGGAATTAAAAATGTTGAAGAATAAGGACAATGTGGAGCACAGCAGGAGGCAGGGGTGCTGGGGAATCTGAAGGCGGGGAGGAGTGAGGATCTGAAGCAAGGCGAGGAAGCGGAGGTGGGCAGTGGTGACGATCTGGGTTGGCAGCAGGGCGGGGGTAACGCGCTGGGAGGGGAGCAGGGTCGCTTCTGGGGCCGGAGAAACCAAGTCATGAGGGCTCTGAAGCACCAGGAAAACAAGAATGAGAACAAGACGGCTCTGGCCACCCTCAGTTCCTGAAGAAAGGCCCGTTTGCGTGGAGAACTGCGTACACACACACAGTCGCTGTCCCACTTTCATCCTTCCTCTTCTCCCCTAGTTCTGCTCTTTGCTGGAGGAGAGACACTTTATATTGATTTTCTAGATACTGATACTTTCAGTTTCTGTGACTATTTCTGTCACAGTACACATGCGTGTAGACAAAGGTACAAAAAAGGGTTTCAGGTTAGAGGCTGGATTACAAATGTGCAGAGTCAGCTTGATCTGCATACTAACAGGTGCCTGGCAGCTATTAATAAAAAGCATACTGCAGAAACAAATTCTTCTTACATATGTTCCTAGTAAGAAAAATGCCTATAAGAGACAAAAGCAAATTACTCATTCCTTAAAGTGAATACTAGAACTAAGAGATGCTGGAAGAGCTCCTGAAAACATCCACAATATCTATCGGAAGGATTAAGGTTGGGATTACCTGTGGAACAATAAAAATGAAAGTGGAGGTAAGCCTTAAGGACTTACTGCAATTTTTCAGCTACAAGCCGGCTTACATTTTTAACATTAATACAGATAAGATGCAGCAAGTCACATGGCTGATCAGAAGGAATTAGGGGGTTGATTTCTTCATCTATCAATACTTTTGTGATTTATTTAAGCTGGAGGATGGGCAAAAGCATTGCTATGACATATATCCAGCTGCAATATAATACTTCTTCTGAGGGACATCCAGTGACCTTATTTTAATCAACGATACAGATGAGTATTTGCTTCAAATAAAGAGCCTGGCTCTGAATAGGGAGCACAACCCCAGACAGGACTGGCTGGGAGTCATGGAGAGCCTGAGCAGCTCAGTGCCTTGCACTTGAGCTCACATTGTCTCTTGTTAGACTTCAGAAACAGCTTCAGCTTCCCACAGAACCAGGGACATACTCTCCCCCTGCGACCAGCAAAAACTGCGATATGAACTTGACTTCTCCGATCCCTCCGAGAGACTCTGCATTTCCACGGAGCTCCCCGCTGCATCCAGAGCTGGGAACTGGGAGAAAGCGCTGCCTCTGAGAGACCGAATGGGGGCTCGTCTCTGTCAAAACAGCCTTCCCGCTTCTCCAGTGGAGCCCAACTTGCAAAAACATGAGCAAAAAATGGTAAGTCTGATTCACTTCAAAATACCAGTAATGGCTGCATGAGGGAGGTAGGAGATAGGAAACCCCGTCAGGTTGTGACTAAGAACGACGCGATTTCAGGATAGAGGAATCGCTATCCTTCCAGAGACACCGAGAATAGACTCTAACTCTTCTGCATCTCTCCGATGCTGACACCAAGAGTCAGACGTTGAGGTTCACTACAAAATGGCTCCTTATGCAGCCCTAAAATCACAGACTACTTATTGTGCTAGACACACTACAGATTCACATTTAGGTTTTTCATCTTCTCTGTTTTCCAGAATGATTTTTTTCCTGTGATGAGAGAGAAATCTCGATGATGCAAACACACACACATGTTCCTGTTACCTAGTTACCCCTGCAAGTAACACACATGGACGGGATTTAACCAATACTGCTTATAGGAAAAATTGTAGAACTATTATAACCCTGCATACAACAAATGTATCAAGCTTCATGTACAGTTTTATACACAAACCAGCTAACATTAAACATAAAAATCACAAGCTTGACAAATCTAATGCACACAAACCAATATCTGTATATAAACAGGACAAATAAACAAAAACAACAGTGAAAGCAAATGAAAGAAACAAAAAGCCAAGACAACAATACATCTTTTTACTCTGTGAGTGAATGGGAGCATTTTGTAAATGTAAATGGAATCTATGCTTCAGATAATGCACCATTATCAATCTTATTTACTATGAAACGATCAGTGATATAATGGTTGGGATTTTCCAGTAGGATTTCAGCAAAAACATCGATTCCCGCAAGATTAAATAGACTGGTTTTGAATGGGGAGGATATGTATGTGGATTTTATATGTTTGAACAACAAATTCATCAAAGCAGTCTTACCTTCCACAGCTCTTTTGAAGAACACTTTGCAGCTGCCACAAGTAAGAACACCATAATGACACCCAGAGGCCTCGTCAGAGCAAACAAGACAGAGCTTGGGAGGTGGTCCCGTAGTTGCTGAGGTTGTGGATGGAGAAGAGCTTACATCTGATCTCATTCCAGGGCTAAAAAAAAAAAGCATTAAAATGTTTTTAATTAAGATCTATGGGATACTGGCAAACATAATATAACTGCAAGAAACGGACTGCCCTCATCCTCAAATACTCGAGTTTTGCACCTCAAGGTCACTAGACTCTGAAACAGTTAAACAAGGAATTTTGTGAAACTTAAGTAAAACTGCATGGATTTTTCATGGCCTGTTTGACTAGGTCAAGATTACTTCCCTTACGCATTTCTGAAGCCAAGTTTCTCGCACAATTATTCTAGCCTTTAAAACCGACTCAAATAATATTTCATACTGTCGCTGTTGTCATTACTGACACATTCCCTGCAGTCTCCATCGAGTCCTGCAAGAGCTTCATTTCCAGCACCATCACAGTTTTCTACTGGGATATTAATATGCAAGAAGATGTGCAAATTAAGCCATATATTGACACACAGTCACAGTAATAAATGATCATTTCACCCCCGCATTTTAGGAGAGGAATATATATTCCTAATTTCAGGATCTGGTTTTACATCGTAAACATACCAGCCACCTACAAAGGAATGGCTAGTTCTTTAACAAAAAAAATAAATCATTGTTAGAACAATAAACAATCTACCGTAATCACCTTCGAGCTGCTTCTAAATCATAAGGGCTGAACCAACAGCAGCTGTGCCAAAGTTCAGAGGCTAATCTTATTCGGCACGTGTAAACAGTACGGCCCAAACCTGACACATTCCCTGGTGAAGGCTGCCTCGACACCTCCTCTGATAAGGCCCATTTTGTTTATTTTCACGAAGTTTTAAACATCTAATATGCAATTTCTATACTGTATGCTTGACTTAAAGTGATTTTCACAAAGTTTTGTCCAACAGGGTTCCAGCCACTTTCCAGATGAAGGTAGAAAATAACACTTTTTTAAGGCTTTGGTGCCTTTACTCGGAAACTCTCCAGGACATCCATCATCTCTGAGGTAGGCTTAACATTTGTATGTGGGCTGGCTTTTGCATGGAAAAATCCTTTTCCTCTCCTCAAGAAAGTCTGACCAGATTTGGTCACACATTTTAAAAAAAAAAAAACAGCACCGTAGTTCTCAAACATTCACAAAACCCTCAGAATTCCAGCCCAAATCAAAATGCTCCAACAGCCGGGAGGCTTTGCTTTCGAACAGGTTGCTTCCACAGGCCCCAACCCCAGAGAGCAACTGAGAAATGGCCCGTCCAGAGAGTCAAAGGATTCTGCTGTTGCGTTTGCTCTCACCGAGAGGGAGTTTGGTACTAAAAGCAGACAAGGAGCGGGAATCCTACCGCTCAAATACAGAGGGATAAGAGTCAAACCAGAATAAACATCTCAGTGAAGTCCACGCTTTGACAAATATGGAACCAGAGGGCAGAGAAAAGTGAAAATTACTTGTGTTAGGGGAAAAAATGAGGTAGCACAGGCACGCAAAGACCTCCCTAAAAACCAGAGTCTGATATGAGCTAGGGGAGAGGGTGACCTGTATCTAAGGCAGAGCAGAGAGGGCTGAGCAGGCAACCAAAACCCGACAAGAACACAGCAACAGCTCAACCACGCTGGAATAAATGTGGGAAGGAGAAAAGTCTAAGACCAGAACAAGGGTGGTCCAACAGGACAGGCTGGCAGTGGGAATGAAGTAGAATGAGTCAGCCCTGAGGAAAAAGGGAAGGGAAAAGCCCACCCAGGAAAGACCACTTCTTTCCAGCACCTGGGAAAACTCAAATCCATCACATCACTCCTCTGTGTTCAGGAAATATTTGTGAAAAGCTGCAACACTTTTACTCTATTGCTCTGCAAAGAGGCTGACGACCATCATTAGCTAGTCTGTCAAGTGGCAGTCACCCACAGACTGTAGTCCTGTTTATGATCCATATGATGGCTTTTCTGTGTTTTCTAATTAATTTGTCTTCTTTAAAGAGCAGGAAGCTATAATAAAATACTAAGGTTGCACAATCCAGCACTCAACATCCAAGTAAGGACCAAATGTAATTCAACCCAGTTACATTTATGTGATGTCCTTACAAACACACTTCTTTAATTACAGACTCGTCCTAACCTCTGCGCGGCACGTCTGCCTCCCTCAGCGCAGAGGCCCTCGGAACCGGTACTGTAAGGATGGCAGCTGCCACCCGCACCGCCCCGGCCCTCAGGGAGGAAAGGCCTGATGGCTGTGGGTCTGCAGGAAGGGAAACCTCAGTCAAGGAAGCTGAGGATTCACATCTACTTCTGCCTCTTACTGTGCGTGACTGTATTTGGTACCTACCAAAGAGCCTTTTCGGAAATCCTGCCTTCTCCGCACCCGGCACTCTGAGGAAAGGCACGCTGCGACGCCTGGTCAGCGGAGCTGGGCGCGGGGCTGGGAGATGCCCAGCTCCTCTCCTCGGAGCATCGCCTCCCCGCCCCGCCAGGGCACGGGCAAACACCTTCCACTGGGCTCCCCGAGGCACCGCCTGCGCCCCGGGCAGGGCTGTCCTCCCCCGGGACTGCCGAGGGAACCGTGGAGCAGTGGGCAACCCGGGCTGGGACCCCGCGCTGGCCTCCGTGCTCCCTCACAGCTTTCCGGGCTGACGAGACAAGTAATTCTGACGACAATGCTGTGCTTCCTTTCATGCAACACAAACTACTTTCTTCTGTTGATGGGTTTGTCCTGATGGTTTTTTACGTTTGTTTTCTTTCCCCCCCCCAGCTTATTGACCCATTTGGAAAAAGGAATTAAATTGTATCTGCACTTCGTAGTGTCATATTAAATAAACAATAAGTAAAATCAACACCTCAAAAACAAACAAAGCCCCCTATTAAAAAAAGTAATCACCAGCCAGTCAAAAGCTACTCTAAGTTTCTTCCTTTTCTCGAAGGTTTTAGGCCCAGTAGCTCTTACCAAAAATCCCAGTTTAAATATTGAAATATAGGCCGGGAGCCTGTGATTTTAAATAAGGAATATATAACTTGACAACTTCATTTCATTAAAATGATTAAAGCCAGAAAAAGATGGAAACATCTTTCTATGCATAGTTTTGAAGACAGCTAATTTAGATACATAAATTACACTCTTTATACCTTAGAAATTTCTGACAAAAGCATTTTTAAGGAAACATTCATCAACTGTCATAGAAACTATGGTAGCGCCAAACATATTCTACTGAAACTTTTCAATCACCTTTAATTTTTAAACAGGGCTCACTTTCTGTACCAGTACCATAGAAAATGTAATATGAGAAAGAAAACAGATGATATGACTTACAAAACTAAAAATAAATTATTACATTGATTAATAAAGCAGTAGCCAGCAATCTAATCTGGGCTTCTGGCATATCTTTTCAAGCCTGGCTGTATCAGATAAGGCCAATATTTACTAACTGCGTGGAGAGCTGCCAGACACTGACAGTGCCCTGGTTGTGTAAAACACAATTTTGCTTGCCTGAAACATGGAGAAGAGGAGAGATTATAGTGCATAAGGACTCCTGCAAGAGCTACAACAAACTGGCTTGAGGTTTAATAGAAATCTTTTACCTATAGTTATTTGTAGTCAAAGACAAACAACCACTTCCTACGGAAGAGGTAAGGGAGGGAAATTACCCTCCAAAATAATACAATAAGAAAAGCTACCTTGCAGTTATTTGCAGAAATGTTTTTTAAACTCAACAGAAACCTAATAAACTATGATTCTTATCTAAATTAAAGAAAAAGTTGAGAAGCATAGATGGGCCAGTAAAAAAAAAAAATAATCCAACTTTTAAGGGTTCCAATTTGTAAAAACTTCAATTAAATTTTATTTTGGGAGGGAAGGTATTGTTTGCTTAAGGGTATGAGCGCCGTTCCCACATACTTTCAGAAACTATTTATATATAATCTATTTTTATTTGTTTGTGTGGATACATTTATTGTTTCCAGTCAAGGAAACACACGAGGGTAAAATGGAAAGACTTAAAGACGAGAAGATGCAGCCGCAGTAACGAGCTCTGTGGAGATGAAGTTGTTTGACCAAAGCCATTTCTGTGTTAATCATTTACCAGAGACTTTCGAACCAGGCTCAAGGTTCAAACCTCACTGAAGTCGGGTGTGGTGGCGTTCATGGCAGTGTGCAGTTTTCCTCCCTCGGGGTCCCCGACCACCGTGGGTCACGCTGTCCCACGCTCGCCGGTCAGGCAGCGGCGCACTCCTCCGGCCGGGCCATGGGCCACCAGCAAAGCCACAGCCCTGCAGTCGGCTGTGGACGTTTGGGCAGAAAGATGTGGCAGAGAAAGTTAACTCGCTCTCCTGAAGAACCCTTCCTCCGGCACACTTGTTCATTACTGAAGAAAATGTTTGTTTTTTCCTCTATCTTTACTGTGAAGAATACAGACCCTCCCCACTAACAACACAGAATGTGCACACTCCCATACGCTGAACCTAACACTGAGACATTATGTAAAAAATACATTACCTGCTACTTTACATTAATAAATGAAAAGAGATAATGAAGTGATGAATACTTTCAGCTCCTAAAACTCCTACTCATTTCCAGCCTCCAACCTGCAACTCTACCAGCACACCAAAGCTCAGGATGATCAACCTTGATCCCATTTTACCCAAAACCGTGCCCAGCCCTAGCACAGTTCTGCTGAAGGGTAAATCCTTTTAAAAAATGCAGATTAAATCAGCGCCTATAGCAAGCTACACACATGCAATGAGAAAAGAACTTGGGTTAACAGTTTAAAAACTAAGATTTAAGGAGAACGGCTGCAAGCTACCGTCCAGGCGAAGCAGCACCTCAGGAAATCCCTGGGGCTGCTAGGCAAAGCAGCAGCTGCCAGCTTAGCAATTTTCTCCTTTTTAAGAAAAAAATCTACCAGGAAGAAAAGTTCAGAGGAAACGCATTATACAAGTTTTTTTCAGACACAGGTACAACTAAGGTATTCCCTGGTGCTATTATGAATTGCAAAACCAGAACACTTGCGACTGGCTCCTGAAAATCTGTGAGAAAATGCAATTCGTGTCCAACTGCCAACTCCAAGGAAAGAA